CGCTCGTGCAGAGCCCTGCGGCCGCTGTCCCGCACCGAGCACTGTTTTTTGGCACTGGGGCCATGCTGTGGGGTTGCCCCCTTGGCTTGTGGTATCAGGAGGAAGATTTGCAGTGCTCGGCAGAAGTGGCTGGGGGGAGATTCCCAAGGCCGAGTGTGCGGGTGATTTGCGGCGATGCCGAGGGGCAAAACTCGCTGTGTCTTCTGCTGTTTGCAAGGGATGATGTGAGAGGGGCTGGAGATGGCTGGAGGGGTCCATTCTGCTGCTGCCTGGGGCCTTGTGCTGCACGCTCACCATCGTGCATCGCGGCAGGTTCATCCACGCGTGGCACTGCAGACCTGGGATGCTGGGGCGAGCTTGCGGGTGGTCACTTGATGGGGAGGGAAGTTGGCCACGTGTCCCCTGCCACTCGCTCATCTCCAGGGCCTGGATGCATTTGAAGCCAGAGCTCAGACTCGACGGGAGGTTTCACCAAAGCTCGTAATTGCCACGTGGCGATCGTCTCCCTTGTCGTGGCTGCGTGGTGTTGCTAATGTGGTCAGCAGCCAAGATTTGGGCTGGAATATCCCCCCCAGCCATATTGCAGGGATTTCATCGCACCAGCCGCAGGCGTAATTGTGCTATTTAATTATTGTACGTGCCTCTGTGCAGGCCTGTGCATTTAGAGGCATAAAAATCACAGGCTTTTATCGCAGGAGGGGGCTGCTGAGGGGCTTGGCCAGTGCTGCGGTCCTGGATGGGGAAGGCTGTTCTCCTCCAGCACAGGAGCTGATGGAGGAGAGGGTGCCCCAGAGAGACTCAGCAATGAGTTTTGGCCCGGTTGGTTTGACTGCAGGTTAATTAAAATAGTGTTGTGCTGGCAGAGCAAAGGCTTCAGCTGGCCTTGAGGGACTTGGTGAAGGAACCGAAGCCAAATTTGTTCTTGAAGGAGATTCTTGAGAGCTTGCTGTAGGAGGGGAGAGGGTCCTTATGCTGCTTGCCTCCCCATCCCTCACTGGGTGTTGCCACTGCTATTTCCCTGCTAACCTGGCCTTTCTCTTCCCGATCACTAGGTCAAGCTGGGAGCTGCCTGACCTGCGAGAAGGAAGAGTAAAAGCCATCAGCGATTCGGATGGCGTGAGCTACCCCTGGTACGGAAACACCACAGAAACTGTGACCCTGGTCGGGCCCACTAACAAGATCTCCAGGTTCTCGGTGAGCATGAATGACAATTTCTACCCCAGCGTGACGTGGGCTGTGCCTGTGAGCAACAGTAATGTGCCGCTGCTGACAAGGATTAAAAGGGACCAGAGCTTTACCACGTGGCTGGTGGCCATGAACACCACCACCAAGGAAAAGATCATCTTGCAGACTATAAAGTGGAGGATGCGAGTGGACATTGAGGTTGATCCCATGCAGCTGCTGGGGCAGCGAGCACGGCTGGTGGGAAGGACTCAGCAGGAGCAGCCCCGGATCCTCAGCAGGATGGAGCCCATCCCACCAAACGCACTAGTGAAACCCAATGCCAACGATGCCCAGGTCCTCATGTGGAGACCCAAGCGAGGCCAGCCGATAGTTGTGATACCTCCCAAGTAGAGCAGCGCCAGGGTGCGTGCGCGAGGACCGGGGTGCTGCCAGCCTGCTGCAAACGAACGGGGTTTCTGAGCCAAAGCAGACCTCTTGGGTTCTCCTGCCTTTGTAGCTGTGGTTGGAAACATGGCTCCTCCTTAGTCAGAAAGAGCCTGGCCAGCGCGGGGTGCGGAAGAGGGATCGCTGAGCTGGAGGATTTCCCAGGAAGCAGAATTGAGTACTTCTAGGGGCTTGCGGCTGGCAGAGAGGCTGTCTGACCTAAATGACTCGTCTTTCATTGCAGGGCAATGCAAGGAGCATGAGTGTGATCGAACCGTGCCTGTGGTAAATGCTGCTTTCCACCCAACTGGAGGTAGAAGTGGAGACTGTGCCCACCAGACATGGAGGGCTCCTGCGGTGACCCTTCCCGCCGGGGCACAGGTGTCCCTGTGGTGTCTATACCTATGCATTTTGGATCGATAATCGACCCCTCACCCTGCTCACTGGGACTGGGTGGGAGGGCCCGGGAGTGGAGCGGGAGCTGGCAGTGCCGGGGTGCTGAGCCAGAGCCCGGCACTGGCCATCGCTGCTGCCCGAGAGGGTTTTCCGCAGCCAAGGGGAAGCGGGGTGTTTTGCATGCGTTTGGATGTGTTTGGAGTAGTTGTGAGTGTAGGAGATGCCATAGCTCTTTTCCGTCTTGGAGTGAGATCTAAGGGCAGGTTAGATATCCTTTCGTTTTAAGGTGCACTAAATCTTCGCAGTTCCTCAACCTCCCCGCCAAATCCTGCTGCCCCTTCTCTTGTGGAAGCAAAACCGATTCTCTGATGAGCAAGAAATCATGAGCCTGTTCACCCAGCCCAGGGTGAGCAGGTGCTCGCTGACCATGGGGTACCCAAACCAGCTTGGGAGTACCCCGGGAGTCGCACACTTCCACTGCAGATCTGAGCTTCTTGCAAGAAGTTGGGTGCTGGCTCCTTTTCCTTGCAAATGCTGGCTCATGTGGGGACCTTCCTCCTCCTCAGCCACCCACAGAGCAGGGTGGCTACTGGAAGGGACAGGCAGCTGGTGATGGTTTTTGCTGCTTTCTCTGCTCTGTACTCCGCCCTGCGGCTCCTCCAGCTCGCGCCCCTGCCTTTGCGCCACAGGAGGTTTCGGCTGCCATGGGGATGCAGGTGATTCCCGCTGGGAGGGTCCTGTCTTCCGTCCTGCTGCCAGGAGAGCCTGGGAAGGATCTCTGTGTTTGGCATTTCCATACAAAGCCTTTCCTGCGGTGTTGGCAGTGCTACCCTCGGCCCAGCGCCGCTTTGCTCCCCGCGGGGTGCCAGCACATCCCTGTGGCATCGCTTCGCGGCGCAGCCGAGCTCCTGCAAAGCTTCAGCCGCAGCTTGTGCTTTTTCCAGGGAGGACGTGCGCCCTGGTCCCTGCTGGTGAAGGGGCTCCCTTGGCATCTTAGACCAAAAATCCCTGTGCTACTTACTATTCTCAGTAGTGTTTGCTGCTGATTCGATTCTTTATTTTTCCTTTGGTAGCGTGGCATTTTGACGCCTCAACGCACACTTTCCCATGCCGGGGCTGGCGGTCCTGCTCCTGCCGCTCGGCCTTGTGGCGGGGGGGGGGGCTGCTGCTTTTGGTGCCTACGTCTGGGTTTGGCCAGGGGCTACGGCCTTGCGGTGGGAAAGCTTTGGAGGGAGAGGGGGGCTCTGAGCTTTGGTTTGCTGTGTTTTCTGGAGCAAAACTTCTACTGGGAGCTTGCTGGTGCGGGAAGATGTCCCGCTCTTGTGTGTGCCCGTGGTTTTGTCCTGGTTCGTGATCAGTGGCAGTTTTTGCCATCACTGATGTTTTGTTTATTTAAAAATGTGTGTGAAAGGGGGTTAGAAACTTTAAATACAATTTTCCTTAAGATTTGGGGGAGGAGGAGGGGTAAGTACCTTTCGGCTTGTAATAAGGCAGATCTGTGTCTTTGACCTGGTGGGACAGAAACATCTCTGGCA